TTTTTTTTCTGCAAAATCGCGTCCTATGACTGATTGAAATCCTGTGTGACGTGTGAATTGAAGATTGATTTTAAATTTTGAATTTCAGGCATGTTGTGATGCGACGTGAATCGAAGCCACATTCGGATATGCAAGCGATGAAGAACTCGACCAGTTTCGATGATCGTGAGTATTTATTGATTTTCTGCTGTATAAGTGAGAATCGTGACGATCTGTAACAGGGTTTTATAATGGCCTTTCCATTCTTAATGAAAAGATTTTGTAAATGAAAGTGAGTGGCAGATTGGGGAGCTTGGAATGTATGCTCGCTAGCCGTTCTGACCTTTGGATTGGCGATGCGACGTGTTGTAAAACAGTTTTTGTCGCGGTTTACGATAGAAGTCAGAAAAAGAGTCACCATGATAGATTTGAGAGTCAGGGCCGCAATCGATTTCTCAGACCGCTTTGAGTCGTCACAGTTTGACATGATTGGTTAGCGCACCTAAGCTTGAAAGTGCCATGATTGGTCAGCGCCCTCGAGCCTGAAGGAGTCATGATTGGTCAGCATGCCTTGAGTTGGATATTGACTGTGTGCCATCAGGTCCGAAACTCATTTTCGATGTCACTATTTCGAGTGACACTGTTTTTTTTTNTTTTTTTTTCAGCCTAATGGGATTTCCTGACTTTACTTAAATGTAAAAAGACTAAATATGTACTCTTATATTCGAATACATAAATTAGTTGACATTTTTAAAATATTATAGGTGGGCGCGGGCTGATGTGTGTATAGTGCATGAGTAAAAGTCGAATGCGAATGCTCCGTGCTAATTAACCGTCTTCCGGTGTGCGCCGCCTACTTTACTTCCACTTAGACGATGTCTGTTATTTGAAAGGCTATTTCATATGTATAAACAGATATAGGGCAGGTCAGTAGACAAACAAACTGCGTTCCTTCCTCTGAGGAGAATCTGATGCCAATGAAGCAAATCAGAAAGTAAATAAGAATTGGATGGCCTAGACAAGATTTCGATCTCCCTCCTCGTTTGCTGTAGTAGCAGCTTGAACCACCCGTGCACCTGCTCCAATCAATCCCGGCACTCCCTGTGACGTTCTTCCCCAGAGATCACGTCGATCAGGTGGCGAACGGCGAGTTCATAATCCTACTTACTGCTTTCCACGCAAAAGTACCTTCCTTTACATAGTTATGTACTGGAAACTGGTAGCTGTAAGTAAAGCAATTGAAACAGAAATTGAATCAGCTGTTCCAGCTACATGGTTTGGGTAGAGAATGCACAGGGAGCAGGGGGTGGGTGTGACTGGCGTTCATCAATAGCCTCCCAATCACAGGCGCACCCATGCGGGCATTCCACTTAATTCCAGTCTGAATAAACTAAATGCTTCTCAGAAACTACTTTTTGCTTACTTCTTGACGTTTTTGTCAACAACTTCAAATTTTACCTTAGTTCGAACCTACAATTGCCAATTGTAGTCATAGCAGGTCTATTGTTTTGACTTTCAAAAGTGTAAGTAAGAACTTTGTTACTTGGTGGGATGTATGTTTTGAATAAATTATGTGTTACGATGAAAGAAGGGATTTTTGTCAGTAGAACAGAGTCGTAGGTACGTGGTAGCCTTTTGAAATCCCCTGATATTATAGTTTCCTATGAAATAATTGCCGATTTTAATTTCAACGCATTTCAAAGCCTCATTTTTGAGATTAAAGGTGTGATTTTACTATCAAATATTTTGGCGTGTTAATTCTTCGAAGTTATATAGAACTTCATAGCTAGCATGACGCCTTTCACGTCACTATGCTTCAAAATCTAAATTAGGCCACTTGGCAACTGATGGTACCCAAATATCTAGTAAGCCGAGGGAGGGGGCTTCCGGCTTAGTCCATTCTGGAGCACCTTCGACTGTCATTCGACTCAGTTTAAGTCTCGAAATGATAGAACTTCTGATGGGTCCTTGGTAGACGAAGTAGGATTCTGTAGAATGAGCCTTCAAGAGGCTGAAGTCGCTAGTTGTTTCTGAACATTCAAAGGCAAGGGCAGTTAAAGAAGCACTTCCAGATAGCAGCATATGAATGTTAAGAAAAAGAGCTACACTGTTCAGCTGCGATAAGCCATTTGAAGCTTGAAGAAGTCAAAAATGCTGCGAAGTGGTTATCGTTCATCTGGAATGGGGACATTGACTTACTCGTTCCCCCATTGGTGTACCATCCCTCTGTTGCATGTCTGTGACACCCTGGCCCAAGCAAACTTGGGCGAAATATTGAGAAACCTCCCCTTGAATTTTTGTTTGACTCTATCAGGGTCTACTACGGCAGCATAACTTTATCGCACCAAAGTTTTGGCAGTAACCGGCTGATTTTAACGGTGGAGTTTTGTTCTATAAAATTATATTTGAGCCAAATTGTAATATTTCGACTTCATCGCTCCAATATGGCATTGATAATTTGTTTCGATAATTTGTTTTGATATTTCGAAATAATTAAAGTATTATTAGATACGAAACGATCGTGTCCGACTGGTTTTGTGTATATAACTGCGCTGTTCGAATCCTGTTGTGTAAGGATTCGCATGCCGATCGGGGAGTACTTCCTAGCCCTGAAATATGTTTGTATATCGGCCATGTCACAATGTTTGGCTTTATCGTGCCCAACCCTCAATTGCAAACCTTCTTTTCAAGAATTTTGAAAAATCAAACTTTTGAATTTTCCTTAAATCCCCTGCCGTACTGATCCCTGCCTGAATGTAACCACTACTGAAGAATCCTGCTCCCAATTTTTTCTTTTCAAAAAGTTTATTTTTTTCGGAATTCTCTTCCTAAAATTTATTTTTTTCGGAATTCTCTTCCTCTGGAGTACCTCAACTGACTACATTTGTCTTATGCAGAAATTGTCCGTAAAGAGCTGTAATTGGTTGATGCATATGATCCTCCAATCAGAAGCTTAATTTCTTGCGTCGCCCCTCTACTGGTGAAAAACAAACTGTACCCGCTTTTACAGTTTTTTAGGCATTCAAAGTATTAAAGTATTTAAAGCTCGCGAGGAATTCTGCTTGTAGTCATTCGAAGCAAAGATTTGAATCCTACGACATAATTACTAACAGAAATTGATTTTTTGGTTTTTCTCTCCCAGTATAATTATTAGTTTTTTTGTAAACCTGAAATGCTCAATTTTTTTCATATGTTTTGACAAGATAAAAAATTAAAACTCGTAACTATTAAAAAATTAAAGACTGTGTAAACTAACTGTGATGAATATTTGAAGAGTGCTTTGATCGCGAAAGTAGCGTGCTCCAAGAAAAGGCTCTTATCATCGTTACTGATACGAGCTGTTACGCTTTAATTGCCTTCGTCTAGCCTGAAGATTAGCTTTTGAATGAGAAATTAGCTTGAGGTATCGGGTGAAGAGCTCACGCTAGATTTTGCTCTGAAAAAAGTGGTTAGTGTAACGTATTACTTAGCAAAGTCATTACTGTAGCACCACTCAAAGAGGAAATTGTTTGATGTTTTGGGGTCCTACAAGCCAAAACCATATGTTGTCCTTTCACAAAAGGATCGTTTCCATAGTACCGCTCGTAATTCATAGTAATTAGGCGTGCGGCCTTGCGATCATTTTGCATAGCCACCACGACCACCATTAATCTGATCGATGAGGAGCTCTTTCTATTCTACCGCCTGCATTCAAACCATCCATTACATTGCATTCAAAAGTGGTACCCATCTAGCTCAACTAACGGGGCGGGGATGGGTTCCAATTCACGAGCTAGGTGCTTGTTTACCAGGTTTTCAACTAGTTGTTGAGATGCGGTTCTGCGTATGAGGGATCGGATCACGGATCAGATCCCGATCGGGCCACTCAGGATCCCCATCTCCTCCAAGTCAATTGTTATGATTCGTACACATCCGGGAGGAAAAATACTAAGAAATTGATCAACTGACCTCGCATTTCGAGTACTTACTCAAACTCAACATCTGAATTATTGTCGGATCCGTTGAAGGTATCATTATGAGGAATGAATAAACACTACGGTTGGTTTAATGACCATTGGCGTTTTGTTATAAAATTAGAAGAACCAAAAAAAGCATAAAATCAAGAAACTCCGATAGGTATTAATGCAATACCGATAGAATCGCTAGCTAGACGAATTCAGAGTTAGCGACTACGATTATTGATCAGCTGCGCGCCGCGCGCGACCATCTGTTGATCTGTCGCTTGGGATTCCGTCATTTCTGTTCAAGAACAACCCAACTAAGGAGGCGTAAAGTGCGCTCATCGGTGACGAGCTCGATCGCGCGTGCGCGCATCTTCCCTCTGTCTTTTGTTTGAGTAGGAACGAGGTGCGTTGTCGGGAAGATACACGATACAGTGTGTGCGTTCAAGTGGATGCCGTAACATAAGGAGCATGGAAATTGTAGAGAGATGAGGGATTGCTGAGTGAAATGAGGGAGGTGCACGTAGAAAGGAGAGGCGCGAAATCTTTATTATCTCTCTGAGGTCTACGGATCAATGCTAGCTAATGCTAGCTCGTCGTTATGATAAAACTGGCAGACGTCGTCGATCAGTAAAGTTTGTGATTGGTAAGTAAGTAGTAATATCGCATGTCCGTGTGTCTGTCCTCTTCTCTTCTCTCAAACATCTGCCGTTTCAGCCGAGTCAAAACTCGAAGCCGAGTATATTCGACGATTTTTGGGTCAGCTCAGTCCGTTAGAGGAATCGCGTCTTTGTGAGCTGAAGTATGGACTCCAAGCCCAACACAAGGTTCGCCTTTCCTTTTCATATTTACTTTTTCGAGGGTTTATTTGTTATGTCAGAGTTTCTTGGTTATCATACATTTTTTGCTTGCATAGTTTTCTGATTGCTCATCTTTTAATGAACTGACGCGTGCGTGTGCGTGGCGATCGGTTGACTCGATCGTTGAGCCTTGCGTCACATGCAATTTGCCGTAGAGTTGAAAATTTATATGGTTATAAGTAAGCGATGGAGATGAATTCATAAACTAATTCACGACTAAGTGAGTCGATATAGGAATTACTGGAAGAGCTTGGTACCAGTAACTCCAATATCGACTTACGCGATGGCACTTGGTCTTTCAGTGCAACCTGGAAACTCGCAGTTACATTTTTGCTCCTCGATTAACTTTGTCTACGACCAAGACAATTTTAGATCTGGGTCTTCCAAATCCAATCCAAATTTTTGCTGGGAAATGATCATTTTCCTTGTTGCTCGCGACAGACTAACAAGGGGTAACAAAAAGAGTCCCTTTACACATCCTTCAATCGATCGATATCTATAGTTTCTTCGGTGATGGTTCTGTGCTACTAAACTCCGTAGAGGGCTTGCAAAAAGGCAAGGCGACCAGACTACGATTTCCACTAAAAATTTATTGGTTATTAGCTGTGCAATCGATTTGAAACAAGCTCTGAAAACGTTTGAAATATCCTCTGACCCTGTCCTATAAAACGGGATCGGATCACAGTTGCCCTGGGATCATCAAGTATTCTCTATGAAAGGCTGCAGTATCTAATACTGGCCGTCGTATAGTTCCTCCTGATATAACTTGTGATTGAAACGGGAATTTTTTCGATGACGTGAGTTATGGTGAATAGGAAGAATTGAACCCAAAAAATTCGTTAAATTCAAAGATATCACCAGGTTTCCCGGCTTTGATCGTTCCCTTTTGTAAAATTTGTTAAAATAACAAACAACCAGTCGAGAGAAATTTCCATCAACAACTCTCCTCAGTCAACCTGGGAGTTCGCTTATGGATTTACTAAACCCTTGTCAAACTACCATTACTATTATTTAAAAATATTCCGTTCACTTCAAAAATATGGTACTTCAGTCATTGTTTCTGTCAATAAGATGATGTAATCTTCATCTGTATGGATATAAACAACCTCTCCAAGAGATTTTTGGTCGCCTTATCTCTATTTCTCTTGTCCATTCGAGTTGAACGATTTTTTTTCTACCAAAGTTTGCCTAATAAATAACAGCAATTTGTTTTGACTTGATTTGACTTTTGTAAACTGCTGTTTTATCGCCGCAATAGGCGACCTTATTACCTAAACAACATTTGTATAATATTAGAATTGGTCCTGTCACGAATATATGTCCTGTTTTTGGGTCTGAAATGTGGTTTTGTGAAAGGATATTGAGGATTATATATTCAAGGGCAAGCTGCCGAACGATGCACATCTGTTACGATTTTTGCGAGCCCGAGATTTTGATGTGGCCAAGGCAAAAGAGCTTGTACACAATAGTATCATATGGAGAAAACAGCACAACGTCGATAGGTTATTGCAAGTGAGTGATGGATCGATTTATTGATCACGGATCCTTATTAATAATCCTTTCGAATAGTGGTGAAAATGGTAATTAAGCTATTTTCGTCGCCTTTTAGGAGTGGACTCCCCCGGCGGTGTTAACGCAGTTCTTTCCAGGATGTTGGCATCATAGTGACAAGGTAACTTTATTTTGGCTCTGAGCTTCTGAACAATTATTGTTTATTCTGTAGCTTCTGAACATCTATTTATTCTGTTCAGTTCATTATTTTATAATTTTCAAGCTAAACAGCTATTTATTCTGTTTGTTATTTAGTAATTTTTAAGGAGGGACGGCCGTTGTTCCTACTGCGTCTCGGCAATCTTGACATGAAGGGTATGCTCCGATCGTGCGGCTTGGAGAACATCGTCAAACTGACATTGTCAGTCTGTGAAGAGGGTTTGATAAAAACAGCTGAGGCGACAAAACAAATTGGAGCTCCCATCAGGTTTGTTCCCATCCATCATCTAACTGAAAAGAAAGGTGCATTTGTCGTAGGTATGGCTTTGGGGCTAGGGTTATCGAAGTTATCGAAGACGAAGAGGCTATATAATAAATGGACTATTTTCACAATCAGTCTAGTCCTCCACGGGCCTGATTCATGAGGGAATGAATGCTGTGTATCGCACGTGAAAAGAGACCGCGCGACGCCACGCGGCCGCGCGCGTTCTTGTCACGTTTAGTGAAAGAAAGCCCTCAAATTCATAGATATCGTATAGTTTGAATTTGATCTAATAGAGGTTCCCCTTATTGTTGATTTCTAGTACATGGAGTCTTCTTGTCGACCTCGAAGGCCTGAGTATGCGACATCTTTGGCGTCCTGGTGTACAGTCTTTGCTACGAATCATAGAAATTGTTGAAGTGAGTTTTACATTCTTTATATTACCAGTTGTGAACTGAAAAGCTTAAGGTTTTCGCTCAAAGTTAAGGAAGGGACGTGAAAATCAGCTTGGGTAGGTAGAGGCGCCACCTGAGGTAAAGTCATCCTCCTTTCTGGGTACTTCTTCGATTCTGAATCGTGATCACCATTGAGTCGAGGTCCTCCTCAATGACTTTACGCCTTCTCTTCTCTGGGGTCAATCGTGGTGGCTCACCTTGAGCTTCGTATTCTATCGAATCCCTAACCGTATGGGTCTGTGCCCTTCTCAGTACGTCGAGAATAGGTGGAGAGAGTGGGTAGCCCCGATTCGCTGACTGTCGTTGACGTAGAGGCGCCTCCGATCTCAACTTGGCTTCATTTACATTAATCATTTTCAATTATTATTTATAGTACCTTCACAGACGCATGGTTACGGGTTCGAATCCCGGATCGATTACCGCCTAGGCCAGCCAAGCCTTCCTCCCTACGGGTCACCTAATTGGAACCGCACTCGTCTGGGAGGATAAGAGCGCTGACTCGTATGTCGGCTGGCCACCGCCAGCCATTGTATAGGCCACATGAGCATTCAATACGCTACTACTGTTCTGAACGGAAGTCGAATGCGGGGCACATCCCTACGACGGGATCGATTAACCCCCAAACACTTTACCTTTATCCTTTATTTATAGTAGATAGTAGGATTTTTTGATTTTTATGAAGGATGAAAGTTTATAAAACAATTTTTTTAAAAAATATTCTTGTCATCATCTCCTGCTTCAGGCTCATTATCCGGAAACAATGGGTCAAGTGCTGATCGTCAGAGCCCCTCGAGTCTTTCCAGTTTTATGGACCCTTATATCTCCTTTCATCGACGACAATACTCGTAACAAATTTATGATCAACAGTGGTGAACTAGTAAAAGATGAAATTAGTAAATATATCGATGAGCAATACATTCCGGATTTCTTAGGTAATTTAAGTTATTTTGACTTTTGCCAGGACAAGATTTTCAAAAATTGTCACTCAGGTGGTACATGCTTAGCCGACTGTCCAGCAGGTGGCCATATACCGAAATCACAGTATAGGCCAGTAGAAGAACTGCCTGAAGATGCTGATGTCCTTAGCTCAATGTATACAAGGGCATCTGTTACGAGAGGTTACCCAGTGGAGGTGAGGCTTTAATAAGGCCCCATGAGTTTTGTTCAACCAGCAAGTACAGTTTCCCTAAGAAATATACGTTCAGGTCGTTGTACCGATCGCATCATCGGGCTGTGTTCTTACATGGGATTTCGACATTCTGAAGAGTGATTGCGAGTTTGTTGTTTATCATACCCCAAAGGTTTGTTTACAAAACAAAACGCTTATATTTTGTTGATTGGTGCTTATTTATTTTCAACTTTTGCGAAAACCAACTGTAAATATCGGAATTAGTATGTGTGATTTATTAATACATTCCACTGCACTCAAAATGCTGAATACTGAACAGGTTGGAGAAAAAAAAAACAGACATTTTTATTACCAAATAACATGTTT